TCAAGTTTATCGATTTCCGATGATGAATTGGTTTTGGGTATTTTGTGTCATTTACCTAGACCGAGGTTATTTAGAGATCGATCAAATCCTTTGGAGGAATTTGATGAACAGAACCGAAAACGCCGAAGAAAGATTAAGTACAGACTAGTAGACTACAAATTCACAATTTGTAGAATTTAGCAATTATTGTTATTATACATATTCAAAATTAAAAGTTCAAACAGCTGTTGATACAGTATCTAGATCATAGGATTTTATCACTTTTTCTGTGATAAACTTAAATTTCTACACTAACCTCGGTATCATGTTTAATACCAATATATTTTTATTGTACGATTTGTGCAACCCAAACGCTTCTGTAAAAATATTTAACGGCTCGTTAAAACTGTTCATTAAATAAATTTAAAGTTCGGTTTCATGCAACCCGGCATTAATATACTTAATACACAAGCTTATTATATTTAGTGTTGTAAAGTAATAAGGATAGTATTAAATATTGTCTATCAACAAGTATTTGAGTGCATTTTAAATAATATTTTACTGTAATCCTTAAAACACTTTTTTTACTCAATTAAAAATATATTGAATTGTTCTTAAAGCAAACAATCACCACCAAAATCGTATCGTTTTACATAATATACTAATGCTAATTATAAGCAATGTTTTTCAACTGTAACAAATACTAATATTATGATACAATTGAAATAATAATGCATAATAATTTAAATGTTTTTTTAATAATAAAACTTTCATTAATAAAATGTACTAATCTTGATAATTATATTAAATTTATACATATTAATCTGCCAGCATCTTGGAAAAATATATATCTTTATTGTTGAAAACTGGATTTATCATAAATTCATTCACGTTTAATTTTATTAGTATAATTAATACATTTTTTTTAAATGTTTAACCTTGTCTAATGCATGATGGTTCCCAAATTTTGTATAACCCATAACTTATGTTAATGAGTTGTACTGGAAAAAGTAACAATTATTAGTAACAATATTATAAAAGTAAAAACTCATTAGTTGTTTAATAATATTTTTATTATTTTATTTCCATTGTAAAACTTAATTATTGATAACACTTTATAACTTAATTAGTAAATCAAATAATATATAATAAGATATTAAAACCACAAACTATGTTTCCATACTATAATACTATAAACCTACTATAATCTATTAATAATTATTTTTAACAAATATTTTGTAAATAATTTTAATTTAGAATTTAGCTGTCAATAACCCAAAACAAAACTTTACTGAAATTTAAAATTAAAAAATGTATGATGAAAAAAATGCATCTGAGTCATAATTTTTCTTAATTAATAAAAAAAAAATAGTAAGGTACTATTTAAAAGTTGTCTCAAATACTTTTTTAAAAGTATTTTTAATAATACTTAAAAACATTACAAAAAAGTATATTATAAGTAATATTTTAAATACAACACTGAAAATATTGAACACTTTCTAATACTAGTTCTTACTTTTTACACTTAAATATTTGCATATATTTTTTAGTTGAATATTTTGCTTAATGGAAATGTTGTTGAAGAACTTGGAACTATAGTTCATGCAAGTAAAGCTGTAAGCCTTGGGCGTAAAATGGTATTGAAATTAGTAGACATGATTCCAAGACAAATGTTTCAGGTAATATTTAAATTACTGATTTATCATTGATATCTACTAACTGTAAATGGAAATAACATAGATTGCAATTCAAGCTTCAGTCAAAGGAAAAATAATTGCAAGAGAAACATTAAAAGCTTATCGCAAAGATGTTACATCAAAACTTGTAAGTGCACAATCATATTTGTACATTGATAATTATTTCAATACGAATAATAAGCTGTAGTTATTATATATAAAAACAAATTATTATTTTTTTAAATTTTATATGTTGACCAATAATATTAAGGATAGTATAATAAAATTATATAAAAATTCCTTATTTAACAATTAAATATATTATGAAATATTGGTATTAAATACTGACATTGGTTAAATTCACACATTATAACAATATTTATCGGCTTATACTTAATTGATCTAATATTCTAACACTATTACTATATACTTATATATTTTATACTATTTAACTACATATTAAAATCTAAGCGTAATTATATTTTGTAACTATTCTAATTGGATTTAAATCGTTAGATGCCTATAAATGTAACTACTGTTTTTGACATTATTTTTATATATATTAATAAGTTATGATATTAATGTCTTACAACAATTTGTTGATTTATTTTATAGTGTGGAAAACGTGGCGGTGATATAACAAGAAAAATGAAACTTATTAAACAACAGTCGGATGCTAAAAAAAAAATGAAAATGGTTGGAAACATTGAAATTCCCCGAGATACATTCATTAATGTTCTGAAACGTTGACAATTCTATGTAATATTCTATAAACTGTCATTTTTTAATTGATCCTTATGAAGTTTTTATTTTTGTTATAATTGTCAGTTATAAATAGTAGTAAATACATTTTGTTAACAAACTTTATTGTATTTTAATTTTTTAGTCTTAGCTGTATTTGCATCTAACACGCTAATAGTATATGTATAGTTAATGGTTTCATAATGTGTTTTTTCCGTTTGGTGTAGTTTTTTTTATTACTTTTTGGGATTTAAATGTCTTGTGTGTGCTAATTTAAAAACAAAAATGAGTTTCAACTTAAAGAGCAAGGTCATTATTTCTTTTTAATAACAGTCGGACCATCTATAACATCGGTGGTCGTGACAACATATGGGGTATAACAATGTTGATTTCAAGGCCCCTCCAAAATTTGGTTTATATATGTATGTAAATATACAAAAACGAATTTTGTTATAATGATGTATTTTTTACGATCTCCTGACCTCTGTTATAGATCAGGGGTGTTCAACCTTTTTTTATGGCGGGCCAAAATTGAGATATGCTTTGGTATATTTTTAGAGGAATAGATCGGTTAAGAAATTTAAGAACAGATATGATTTATTTGGAAAAATGAATGTTTGTTTATATACTTTTTTATTTTAAAACGAGTTTTTATACTATAAGTTAGTGATAGTACTTACTAATAGTTATAAATGACTATTGAAACTGTTACGCATAACACCAATAGAAAAAAATAATAAATAAATTTTATTCAATTATTTCAATAAATTAAAAATAATAAATACTAAATGAAAATAATATAATAAATATATTATTTTCAAAACATTAATTAGCTTGGCCGGCCTTAGGTAGAACATTGTTATAGATGATACTGACTGTATTTGAAATTGTTTAAAATATCATTTTTGCATAGAAATTTTACATGCAAAGGCTTAATATAACAGATTTTTGAATTTTTTTATATGTCAACATTTTAAAACATGTAATAAGTGAAATGTTTATTAATATATCATCCCCTCCCTGTACCTAACCCTCAGCATTTAATTATATAAATATAATTAAATACCTATTGCCAATGACAAAAATGGGGTTATAATTATGCACAGACGTACAGTACAATAGTGTTTTAGATTCTCATCCCAGTTTCATTTTTCTGTAATAGTTAATTATGAATAATGACAATTATAATTTATAAAGAATCTTAATGGCATACCAATTTAACAAATTAATAATTTCAGACATATATGAAAAACACGCTTAAGTTTTAACAGCTGCAATATTCAATGCGTAATGCGTATATTTACTAATGCATCAATACAATTGTGTATTAAATATTATAGTAATTAAAATTAAAAGTTATAATAATTTGTATATGATTGAATATTTTTGTACTGTTATCTTATAAGCTCTTAATCATCCAAACAATAGTATATTTCTTGAGCACAGTACAACAACACTTTATGGGTATACACTATACTCTATACATCAACCAGTGCGGCAACCGAAGCAATTCATTGAGATATGATCAAAAACTAATTATTTATATTTTACATGGTATTAATTATTAATATATTATGTTTGCTTGGTGATTATTTTTTCATTAAAATCAATATGCAATAACTTCAAATAGCTAATCCAAAATGTTGGCAGCTTGTATATTAATATTTTTAACTACCTAGTCCAGTTGCTATAGTGACAGCGAAGAGATTTATAACATCACTATATCGGAAATTGTTAAAAAAAAAAAACTTATTTAGATTCTCTTGGTGTCAAATCGACTTTCAGACATCTTTTTACAACATAGACGAACTTCAGAAATAAATATAAGAGAAATTATTCAATATTGATTGTCTAGTCTAAAAACTAGAAAAATTATAAATTTGTTTAATACCTAAGTAGGTATTTTCGATATTTTATGGGACATAGGCATACCTATGTTTATAGTTTGTGACATTCACTATTATCATAATAGATACCTATATACCTATTTTGTAAAGTTATGTAATAGGTAGGACAGATAGGTACATAACTAGGAATGATTCCTGTTTTGGAAGTTTTGTTAAAATAATTAATGTTCTATAAATCAATTGGATCGAGTCTCAAAACTAAGTGCGAGTATTTTTTTTTATTTCATAGGTACCTATCAACAAATTGTTTATCCCTCGAAGTCTCGACATTTAACTGGGTTAGGTAATGATGTTTGATACTTCGATGGTTAAATTACCCTTTTTCGAAAAATTTTAGTTGCAGCACTGGTTCCATTGTTCCTACACATAACTCAATTAAATTTAAACGTACCTAGGTATGATAATTATTTCTATTACCTATGCATTTATTATTAGATATATTTTTTTTTTTTATTAGGTAGGGACATAATATTGTTATTTATAGTAAATCGTAACACCGAATAAAAAAATTAATTTATAATAAACACGCGCAAATGCACGATTGATAAATGCGTAAACCCTATAATAATAATTATAATTTATATTAATGAAAAGTGAGTTGCACTGCAATCTTCGGCGATGGAATGTTGTTGGAGAGAGTTCCGCAGAAATACATCTGAGGCCTCAACTTCTGATCGGAATACAACAAACGATTTATTCAGTAGCGCGAAGTGTAAATGGGCCGACGGGGCTTTCTGTTGGCTGAAAAAATATTGCAAAATAAACGTTAGATATCATAAACTATATGTATGTAAAAGCTAAAGGTATTAAAAGAGTAGGTAGGTAGGTAATTTGACTACCTAATGCAGATTGGGTAGAGTGTAGGTATGTACGATTTGCTTTATGTTCAAATTATATGAAAAAGCGATTGCTTAAGTTTGTACGGCTACAGTAATAAGCAGTGTTGTAAAGTATTTGAGCAAAAGTATTAAAATAATATTATTGAATACTTTTTTAAATAGGTACTTTTTATTTCGAAGTATTTGAATGGTATTTGAAATACTTTTTATTACTATTGAACACTATTTTATCGAATACTTATTTTTATTCTTTTAATTCTTAATTAGGGACATATTATAATTTATTATTCTTGTTAAATAAAAACTGCACACACACACAATTTGGTATCGGTTTTTGTCGACTATTATTCGGCTATTATACTTTATAGTTTATACTTTATAAATATTTAACTATACGAAAATATTATTACTAGGTAATTATTAGTACCCATTACCTATTTACCAAAACAATTTTTATAAATAGGTAATTATCCTTATCGTTTATCGTCGACGGCGGTATGAGATATCCATAATATGCATATTATAGCTTTGAATTAATATATAACTTTGTAGAGAAAAGTTCATTGTCGTGGTGCAACTAACATGACTGATTAGAATTTTTATTATTGAACAAATCATGTTTTTAAAATGCAATAAACAAATTTTTGATTATTACAAATTATTTCAGCACTAAAAAGTAAAAAGAAATTTTTTTTGTATTTGAAGATTATTTCAAATACTTCTGAAAAGTATTTGAGTGGTATTTTAAATATTTTAATTTAAGAGTATTTGAGTAATTACTTAAATACTTTTAAAAAGTATTTTTTACAACACTGGTAATAAATAATATAATACTGTGGGTATTTTCAATGAAAATTTACTATACATTGTTTACACAGGCAAATAATTGTTGAATCTATGCAATAAGTACCAGTAGTAGGCTATATACACCTGGTAAGTGACGCACGTAATATAACTACTGACTTGAGAATCTGAGATAGGTAAGGTACACATGGAAATTTAAATTTAGGAAAAACGACACTTGTGGAGCTAGAAACACCCGCCTATAATTTTGTTGGACGCACTATAGCAATATTATACTACCTATAACAAAGCGACTACCCGGAGTTTAATATTATTTATTATAATATTTGTTTACCAATTATTTGTTTGTTTTATTTTCAATAAATTACGTTTTATCGTTTTGGTCGTTCCTATAATAATTTAGTTTTGGTTTTATAATTTGTTGAACTATTTATATTATAAGGATTAAAGGGAGTCATCTATTTTCAAATACAACTATAGAAGAACAATTTTTTAAAACCTTTCTACCTTATTTATTGTCCTCATTATACTATACACTACTACATAAGGTGTAATCATATTGAGCATCTAAACTATAGTCACCAACTGATATAAAAGTTTTTTTGGAAAATTGTGGTTATTTTCCAAATCATACATCTAACATTGGTACGAAATTTACTTCAAATGCAGCCATACCCCACACAGAAAATTATAACCAACTACGGTAAAAATATTTTCAAGAAAATAATAGTTGTCAAAATATTGAAAAGAGTTGCTTAAATAATTAGGAAATACTTTAGTTACCTATATTCTTTGGCTAAGAAGTTTATATTTTAATCATATATTTTCAAAAAAAATTGACGGAAACTTTCTAAAAATATTATGTTAATATTTTTATGCAATCATATAGTACAATATTTTGTTATCATGAGAATAAAATATTTATAAAATATTATTAGTCAAATATTCATTATTCAAGCACTTTAAAACATTCAAAAAATATTATCATTTCTCAAATGGTGTGTGGGACAATTTACCACATAAAATGGTAAATTTAATTACATTATATGTTTTCGTTTTAAGAATATACAATAGCAGGTAGGTAGTAGGTACCTAAGAAATAGTTGGTAGGTATAAAATATTAAAATATAATATTTTTTTAAATGTTGTTTTTAAATTAATTACTTCAAATTGTGTAAAAATAAGGCATTATAGGAACACCCGAACATTTACCAAGGAAATGGCAGCTAGTTAAGTGTTCAAAAGTAGGTACATAAAAGTAGGTTGTACGTTGTATAAGTAGGTATATTATATGTATACATATTAAATTTATATTAATAAAATAACCTGCAAAAAACTCGTCGTCCAAATCTTCAAATTCAGCCTCGGACATAATTTTGTTGATTTGCATTTTAATTGTAGCCTGTCGTTTGGCCGTAAATGTGCTCATTGTCTTGGCCCAAGCGAGAAATATGTGCTCCTGCGCACTGAAATCCGACGGTCCTCTCTTGATCGCCGGCTTGGGCTGTGGCAGATCAGGTAGAGCGTCCGACCTACCATCTTCTTCGTCGTCTCCCACGTGGCTTGTATCACCATCAGCTCCTGTGCAGCCTTTATCAATTTTGTCGCTGTCTTCGCCGGACTGATCCTGTAGCCTTATTTTTTTGGCACTGGACGGCCCATCATCTACTGTCGACACCGCCTCCTCGTCAGTCGCGATCTCGTCATCTGCCCCGCTTTCGTCGTCATCGTCCTCCTCATCGTCATCGTTGTCTTCATCGTCATCGGGGAACGGACCGATAGTTACCATCCTTCGAAGGTCTTGAAGCATGGAGGCTGTGATACTCCTCCCCAGCTGGTTTAAACCATCATCATCGTCAGTGGAACTACGTGCCGACGACGACGGCGACCCGATGCCGTTCATATTTTCCTGCAAAAACTGAGACAATCGAGCCTGTGATATTGGCCCCATAATTCTGGGACGCATGAACCCAATATTAGACATGACCGGGATTTCTATGATCCCCACTGAACTCGCACGTTGTATCTCGAGACTAGGCTCCGGTATCGGGTGAGTGACTGCGGGTCTCGGAGTGGCTGGCGTCTCGATCGCGTTCGAAAATCCTTCGTTGGTCGTCGGTGCTGTCAGCGAATGTGCATATTGAACTGTCAGCTCCGGTCCAGCAGAACCGTTACCCTGCACCGGTCCCTGCCCAGTGGGTATCGGGAACGGAAATTCGGAGCCAGACGTCACGTCGTCACCAGGCAGTCCGTTTATAATGGGTGTCATTTGCGAAGGCTGAAGAGCCGATATCGGGATGTGCGACATGTCTATGTCCATGTCAGGTATCAACTGTCTCGAGGATTGGAATTCTGGTATTTGACTGTAGAAAAACGATTTAAACATAATCATTGTATTCAGTTATTTATTCTAAAACAAATACATTGCTTATCAATAGGTACTAAAACATTTCACAAGAATTACAACTTGTTAATTTTGTAAATTATGTAGGTATTATGTAAATATAGAGTATAGGGTATAGGCCATAGCCTCAAAGCATATCCATAGTGAAACAATTGCAGTTGGATATGAACTAAAATAGAAAAAAATTTCATTTCCAAAGTAACTGCAGGTTTCTACAATGCCACATAATATTTTTAAATATATATATATAATATATATGTGTATATTTCTATATACATATAGAACATCTATATGTATAAAATTACTTGTCCTGAGTGATTCATCATTGCCTAGCCGGAACCACTTAACGGATCTGGCTGATATTTGGCATATATTGATAGCTATTATGACGTAGGCGTCCACTGAGAAAGGATTTATATATAAATATATAAATATTAAATACTCCTAAAAATCCGGGATGATCAACTATGACTTTAAATTTTAATACTATTTTAGGTACACTGTATACAAATTTATATTTTCAACTACAAAGCTGTACTAATATATATGATATATTTTATCTCCCACCTTGCTGTATCCGCAATCTACCACAGGTAGATTGCCTACCTGATAATATACCTACTGTTCGCATAACCATAACTGTTAAGTGAAACTTACGGGCAATGCCACGCGGGATGGCTAAAAATTAAAATATAATGTGATTTTGCTTCCATACTTATGCACAGCGAAATAAACCCAAAAGAAGTTAATTAATCACAATTTTTTGCCGGACAACGCCGGGTTATTCACCTGGTAATTTATAAAAAAATAATTAGGGAGTTAAACAGTTTTAAAAGTTATATTTACTACGATAAAACCAAACTTATATTTTGGACTGTTATTAAATACACTTTTTAAATAGTAAATAAAAATATTAACTATTCCATTTTAAACAATAATAATTTATCAGCAAATAACACGGGTAGATGCGAAAACTAGTTAAACATATTTTAATAATTATATTATTTTGTTACATTTAGGAGGACGTGGTACCCGCATGCGTGTTGTAATATCCAACTATTACACACGCGTATGACATAGAAAATGTTCGTTCGCCAGTTTCAATAGTGTGCTGTTAGTTTTGATATTAGAGTGAATTGAACCTATAATTAAACTTTTAGGTAACAACATTATCTGCGTTCTCTAGTCAGTTTTTTATAATATTATAATTTTTAAGTGAATTATGAGAATTTTAAAATACTGATGTTTTACATATTCATAACTCTCTTAAAATTAAAATATCGTAAAAAACCAACGAGAGAACACTGTTAATGTTCTTACCTACAAGTTTGATCAAAGGTCAGTTCACTCTAATATCAAAACTGAAAGCACACTATTGAAACTGGCCAATGAAAATTTGCTTCGTCATATTATATGACTCATATATAGGTAGGTACGTGTGCAAGACGGAGACAATATAATATGTTGGTACCTACCACTTGGTACTTTAGCAAAATATTTAAACTGTCCAAAAAACTTTAAAGTACATGTGCAAAGTGAAATGTCCTATTTTAATTCACTGTAATTTGAAACGTATCTATTAATATTGTATAATATTATACTCTGATATATTGTACTAGGTGTCTAGGTACCTGCAGCTACTTAGTACTTACAGTATACGGATGTGCTGAAAGATAAAGTAGCTATAGGTATTATAAGTCCAGAACCCTGATAATTATGTACATTAATTACGCGTATAATAATTGCACTATTTTTACGTGAACTTTGAACCGTCTAATTAGCACGCGGTGTCTTAATGAGTTGAATGGGTTTTTTACCAATTGATATGAAACAGCATTTTCCATAAAGTTACGACGAAGATAAAAGAAACATAAAAACTGTATTACCGTAGTATTATGAAATATAATATATTTTAAAATGAGCTTTTAAAATAAATTGATCAACAAATAATTGCATTTTATTGTAGTTGAGTTTGGGCCTTTGAAGTTGACCTCTGGGTAAAATTCCAACTATAATGTTTATGAAAAACATTTTATTTCGAATTTATTAACTTGTTTTGTTCCTGTCTTATGATCAAAATTAAATAAATTTAAATGGCACAAAACTCAACCAATTATCCGCTCCCAAATCATGTTGCTAAGGAAATAAACGTTGATTAAAAAATATGCATAATTCCTTCTGCAGGCAGTCTGACAGACTCTCTCATGCACGTTCTTCCGGCAAAAACTTTATAAAATACAATGTCGGTACCTACATACATAGCACTATATTGTATAAGTACTTATAATATTGTGAATTCGTGTCAGAATTTCGTTTCACTGAGGTTTTCGGTCTACTCGATTTGGTAGAATAAATTAAATATCGTAACTTCAGTGAGTTTCCGACGATAGTTTTAATTTATTCTTAATATTACTTCTACAGGCCAAGGCCAAAACTTTTCAGTACCGACAGTACCTATATTAGTATATCCAAGTAAAATGTATTATGTATATAACTAAAAAACATTATATTTTAAACTTTTGAAGAATATATTAAAACTGTGGCTTCGAATGAGAATAACAAAAATAATCTATATATTAGCATTCACATTTTCCACCATTGATTTTTAAAAATAATTGGTAGGTATATGAGTTTTACTATTGGATAAATTAGGTATATATATATTATAACAATACTTACAATTGTTTGCGAACATATGGCTTAAACATACGCATAGGCTTCGTCCACGGCCATTCCATGAATTGTTCCAAAACCCTTTCAGACGAATCGTCGTTGCTCAGTTTTCTAATAAAATTAGCATATTTGTTTAATATTTGGTCCCACTTGCGCTGCAGAATTTCGCCTGTAAATAAACATTACTCGTGCAATATATATATAATACATAGTGTTTTGAACTTTTGGAACTGTCTCAAACATTTCTACTGTGTAAAATACTTATCTATCGCTGTATTTTTAAAACTACCATTTATATTAATGTTATTTAAGTATATAACCGTATAGGTACCTATTTTAAGTCTGTATATATAATATAAGATGATCAGATGTTCAAAATTATACGCTCATAATTATATATAGACCATACAGAAAAAAAAAATTGGTAATAGGAGTAGGTACCATAATTATTGGTTGTAGGTACCTATCTACTCATGTTACAATTTAAAATACCTACCCAAACAATCAAACTGTTTCTCTGCTGTACTACAACTTGGCTTAAATTATCTCCGAGTTTGGGCTAATGTTGAATATATATTTAATTTCTAACTAAAAAATATTTAATCTATCTAATATCTATCTAATCATATCTAATAATAAATATTAATGAATTGTATCTATAACATAATAAATTAATATTATATATAAAATGTAAATACATAATACTGATCTACTGAAGGCTGAAGCCTTATAAAATAGGACAAATATAACATTTTTAAATTAATTAATTTCCTTAAAATAATTACCTTAAAATTCAATAGTTTAAACTTTTAAAATTTTTAAGTTATAAACTACCTAGGCTTAGACAACAAATGACTAAAAATAATTGGTTGATGATAGAAGTTGCTTATATAGTTATATGCTTAGTATATATATTATATTATATATATCTATAACTACAGTAACTTGTCGGGAAGTGGTGAAAGACTGAAAATTAAACATGCAAATTATAATTGTCTAAATTACAATTTATAAAATTGACAATAATACATTTTGAGCTTGACAATGAATATCATAACTATATAATTGCCTATATTTTTTTTTTAAATTGTTACAAAATTTTAGACTTGTAAAAAAAGATCTTACATAAGTTATTATTTTAGCTGTTTAAAAATACTTAAAATACATTTTTGATAAGCATTTGAAGTTAACATTTCGAAAAAACTACGAAAATTTGCAAATTTTGTTATTTTTTGGTTAATAATATATAAAAAGTTTGATTTGTTCATTTTAGGCTAGGCAATTTAATACAAGAATCCTCATAAGTAGCTCTTACTAAAATCGATATATATATAAAAAATTTACAAACACCATTTTTTTTATAGGCATTGAAGTTTTTGACGAAATTTAAACAAAGAATAACGATTTTAGTTATTTTATCGGAATACAAAATATAATATATTAGTGGAAATTTTTTACATAATATTATATTTTACTATACGCAATAGCATTTTCAAAATATCTAGACTAATTTTATGTTAGTTTTAACATATTATTATTATTTATTAATACCAATAATTCATAAATATTAATTAAAAATCATTTGCACTGTAGAATGTATTTTTATGAATTCCAAATAAATTAATAATCACTGTATATTTTATTCACTTGAATATTTAAAATTTGAAAAATATTCTCAAGAAATTCTAAAACGTTCGAAATCTTATTTATATTTTAAAATTATACTAATGTAAAAATATATGCATTTCATATTTTTTTAATATTTTATTTTGTGTGACATTTAAGCTGACATTAGGTGTAAATGCTGACAATGTCGTTGTGGTTAAAAGGTAGACGTAATAAAACTGTTGTGAGGTTAGTCATGTTGTATGTATCAAACTGTTGGGGAGTAAGTAGAAAAAGAAACGGACAAAGGGTGATAATAGCAGAAATATTAATTTTAAGGTGAAGTGACTAGGGAGGATATAATAAGAAATTAATTCATTAGAGGGAATATAGGAGTAGGACCAACTATAGACAGAATGATAGAGGATATCTTATATTAAGATTGGTTGAGATTGTTAGGTCGTGTTGTGAGGGAGTCACCTCTCTAGGAGGAGGCAATGAGAAATAAATCTAGAAGGAAAGAGAGGGAGAGGAAGACCAAATAAGATATGGACAGTCAGAATAAGGAATGACACGGAATTGAAGTATTAATTTTAGTTATTAAGTTATTTTTCTAGGTGTGTGGTGTGTGGCGGCGGCCGTGTGTCCAAACGTTGTATTTACTTGTAGGTACCCAAATATTTATTTTTCTAGTGATAAATTGTGTACCCAAACGGTGCATCTCATTGCTTCATTGTACCTACCCAAACCCGTTGCATTTAAGGTCTATTTGGATTTTAGGCGATTTTAATAACCTCTCCCGATTTTATTGATCTGTAATAGCTATACTCTTCCTATGGTAAACTCTCCCGAGTAAATTCCAGTACTACCTGACTCGTACATGTTAACTTTCCTGAGTCCCGAGTCTGTATACAATAACTTCGTTTAAACACTATAGTTTAATGTTTATAATAATATTTACACATTTTTTAAATGTGATAGACATTTGAATTCATTAAAAGTAAATTATTCAAATATTATAGTATCTAAGTACATTTTAAATTAAATTATTAACGTTTAAATTTAATTTTTATAATTAAAATGAATAATTATTATGAACATACCATTTAAAACGACTCATAAGAGAGTTTACATATTACTTACTCTAGGTAAACATAATTGATAATGTTGACCCGGGAAAGTTTACTATCGGTTGTGTTTACCATCTGGAGATTTACTACCGCCCGTCTATGTACCCAAAGATGTTAAAGTCATGTAGATGGTGTGAGTAAAGGACGGAACACTTTTGTATTGGTAAGGGTGGCTGACCCCATATAATTGGGAATTGGGATGGAAGGGTGAAGAAAAAGAAGCAGAAGAATATACCTAATACATATATTATTTTCATTTTCATTTTAACAATACACAATATATTCTGAACATAATAATATATGACGGGTAGGTTACTAAAAATTCAAAATTGCCAATTTCTTTCAGTATATATTACATTCATTTGTATTCTTTTTATTAGTAAATTAGGTATATTTCAGTATTGAAATTTAACAATTAAAATGAAAAGTACCTAGGTAATATCCTTCGTTGACCGGTGTTGATAATAACGGTCTAAATATAAAAATATAATTAAAATTGCAAACATATTACGTAGGTACCTAACGAAAAAAAGAATCGGAGACTAATCACAATCTCTAGATTTTTCTAAAAACTACAAAATATTATTATACCAATTAATAAAAAAAAATAAGTTGTTTGAAATGTTTACAAGATTGTCCAAAAAGCATGAATTATTACAAGAAGTAGGAACAAACAAACACACAGACAAAAAAACATGCGAATAACGCATTAAGCATTAAATTTACACTATTGCAAGCTGCACGTATTATTATTACACGTCTTATTGTTCAATGTATTACTCTTTAGTCTTTATAGTTTGTAATTGTAATGTTTGAACAATTTAAAAAAAGATTGAAACAAATACTACCTCATTACTTCTTTACTACTTCATTCTGTTTCCCCGTATAAAGGAAATTTTAAGGAATATTGCTACGATGGAAAATTATTTTAAAGTTTCTTTAAGTAGTATTTGTTTGTGAAAGTACCCATGTAGAAATAACTCTTATTTTTTCTTAATAAAAAAGTATTTCTTTTCAAATAAATTTTAGTTCAAAAACTGAAACACAAAACTCAAAGTATGTCATATAAAATATCTATACGACTTATTTAAGTACTTTGTAAAATTATGTGTATGAAGGAAAAAAAGTTGGTCAAAAATGGTTGTTTTGAAATGTATAATGACTAATATGTTAAGTTATAAAGTTAAATTCGATGATTAATCATCAAATAAATATTATTATGACGACTCTGGTTTGAGCTATGTTTACTTACCATAATAGTATAATTGCATACTGGCAACTATAGGTACCTACCTAACTCAGTAAGTAACTACCGCAGCTTTAAACTACCTACCTATTTAACGACTTTATAACAATATTCGAATTGATATGCAAACTCTACATCCCTATAAAACAAATATTTGGCTTTAGGTTTTTGAGAATTTCTCGCTTTCTATAAAAGTTAATCATCTTTGGGGTGTTTTGGAATTTATTCAATTATTATTTTAAGTGCATTAATTGCCGTGGTGTAGATATTCATAGTGGGGATTATGCAGAAAGATTCAGCAGGGTTTCGATTTTAAATATACAAAAAATATATAGAAATATTAATTTAAAATTATTGAACGTATCTTAATATACTATAATATATAATGTATAGATAGTACTTACATTAATACATAACATATTATACACGATAAACCTATAATCTATGTAAGGTTTTGTAAAGTATTCTAAATATTTTTTTTGAACTTAGTTTATAATATTTTGTAACAACACAATTTTTTCCATTACAAATTGGGCACATTATAAGTTGATATAAACATAAACTTTGAATTTCCCTTTGAATGAAAGATGATTGACTGACATTAATATCCAACCATTCCAAAACTGACAAATATAATCGGAGGGGGGGGGGGTATATTCTAACAGTAGGTATTATTCGAATACGTATTCTGAAATAAAATAAAATACAACTATTCTTTACAAGACTGCCTATGTATATTATAGAGTGTATCGAACGATGCGAGGGCACAATATATGTAGCCTACATAATAATATATTCATACTCCACTGTCGTTAATTGAATTTGATTTACTTTAAACTTTAACCTGCTTGATATTTTTACGTATGCAAATTGCAAATGGAAAAAAAAAATAATAGTCTACTATAGGTATAATAAACCTACTAAATACAATATACTCTAGCTGTGATTATACTAACGTGCAGGCCTACACAAAATGTGTAGTTAGTTACCTAGCTAATTCTTATTTACAATATATTTTACAGTGGTACCTATATTATATTATTTATATTATGAAAACTATTACGGGTTTATGACAATATGGTTGCGTCGTATGAGTCAGTTATGAATAATTTTAATGATTCATCATTTAACATTTTCCAAAATTGTATAAATAATTGTGATTATAATAGCTTTGTTAAGTGATTGTTA